CCCCCCCCCCCCATATGTTTTTTTCTCTATTATAATGACACTGTCCAAAGTCACCGCTTGTCCAAGATGACCACTTTTCTCCTCGACAATGGGAAGTCGTATAGAATAGGTTTGTCTGTATTTCGACTGCTCAGTGTATGTAAGACTCTGTCGTACGTCGCTTTTCAAAATGGCGTGTGGTGAAGTCGCATACTAAGCAGTCGATTATTGTACTGTATTCTCCCTCCAAAAGACTTTCTAATAATAATGTATGTACTCGTGCAATGTACCTCGTGTAATAGCAGACTGTAGTTTGATTCTGACTTTGGATTGGGGGCGTTGTATTGACTTCGTACCATGATCTTTTTTCAGGGAAAGTGGGCTCCCCCAACAGTAACACCTACGTCAGCGAAAAAATGCGTGACGCTCTTTTCTCCTGGACTTGTGCTCTTTCCTGGGACGAGGGGATTACTAGGTTTGTTTATGACAACTACTAACATCGTCATCTTTATATCCGCTCACTTTCTCGTGTCCTCAAGTTTTTCTTGTTAGAATAAGGGTGCCTAACTTCACTTTGAGAAGCTTTGAGAAAAAGGAGATTTTTTCATTTTTCATAAGAATTAGAACTATGAACTAAATTCCCTTTTCAACAGTAAGAAAATATCTCAACTGTCAGAAAATATTTCCAAACAACCGCTTTAGGGGTTGGTTCTTTTTTGGATAAAGAGATGTAGTAGCTTTATTCCATGGTTGTGGTAAGTCCGTTTCGATCAGAAATGAAGATAGACCATACTAATCTTCAAAAGCACAACTGCAGCTAGCAGTCAGCTGAGGACCGCAAAGGTCTATCAGCAGTCCAGCCAGGTAATCCATGGTCTTCATATCAATTGGACAAGTAAGTTTGTGTCACGAAGTCGCCATGTTAGAGTGGCGTAGGCCCCTACTCGTAATTGAGGTCAACATGTTGAGCCAAATTTTAGCTCTCGGTTTGTTTTGTTTGTTTGTGTAAGTGTGTGTGTGTGTATGTGTGTGTGTGTGTGTGTGTGTGTGTGTGTGTGTGTGTGTGTGTGTGTT